AATTCGTTGGGTAAGAATGAAGAATTGGAACATCAATGTGATGTTATGTCTCCTCTTCAAACTTTTGCCAATTATAAAGTGTCACACCGAATGACTCGCCTTTACCAAAATTAGTTAATGAACATCTACTATTACAGAGATGCATGAATGATGTACTAAAACTACATTAGTTTGTTGGAGAATATGTATTGTCATGACTACAGGTGGAGTCTACACTGGGACTCCTCCCAGTGTAGACTCCACTGGATCCTACATGAGTTGTTTGCCTTTAATTGCCGTTGATTTGTTGTTTGCTATATACTAATAAGCCAATGTGTTTTAGATGAAATTAGGAAAGATGAGTGTGAATGTGTTTTACGACGTAAGGTGATTACGTGTTGAGGTCTCAGGATGCGAGGACGCTTTCCCGTCAAGGGCCGCCATGGCGCCAGAGCTTGAAGCTCAAGACACCAGGTTATTATGGCAACCAAGAAGACGCTACCTATTGGGGCCAATCAGAGTGAAGCAAGACAGTAACGTCATGCAATGAACACACGGAGATGGGAGGAGGCAAATCACTTTATGACCGATAAACGAAGAGATCACACATCTCCCAACAATCGCTCCGCTACTGCTGGACAGATACTATCATCCAGAAGCCATGTAAACAGGGCCGACTCCAAGAACAGAAGAATAGGACAGTATCCAGTAGGGAGCGGAGAGCCCAGGAGCTGACATTGTTGTAAGCGGTTTCGTCAGAGCGGTACAGAAGGCTTGGGAGGATTGACAAGTTGCGGCGACCGTGAAACAGACCCGATGTGAGAGGTCTTCATCGTCAGGAAGAACGACTTCCCTACAGGAGCACAACAGTAACAGGGAAGGACGCCGAGCTGCTAGTACACTGAGAGGGTGACGTTGTCTTCCTATGAAGCCGCCGGACACAGCTGTGACATTTCCACCCTGAGGAAGTGTACTCAGGCCGGAGTATAGTTAAGGCGTATGTTTGGAGAGTGTGAAACCCGAAGTATTCGTCGAACGCCCCGAAGTACTCGCTGGACGCCCAGAAGTATTCGCTGGATGCCCCGAAGTACTCGCGTGAAGAAGCGTGAGGTAGAACTCCTGCTGGTCCGAGCGTGAGGTAGAACTCCTTCTGGTCCGAACGTGAGGTAGAACTCCTCCAGGTCTGAGCGCGAGGTTGAACTCCTGCTGGTCCAACCGTGAGGTAGGACTCCTACTGGTCCGAGCGTGAGGTTAAACTCCTGCTGGTCCGAGCGTGAGGTAGGACTCCTACTGGTCCGAACGTGAAGTAGAACTCCTAATGGTCCGAGCACGAGGTAGAACTCCTCCAGGTCCGAGCGCGAGGTTAAACTCTCGCTGGTCCGAGAGCGAGGTTGAACTCCTGCTGGTCCGAGCGCGAGGTTGAACTCCTACTGGTCCGAGCGTGAGGTAGAACTCCTCCAGGTCCGAGCGCGAGGTTGAACTCCTGCTGGTCCGAGCGTGAGGTTGAACTCCTACTGGTCCGAGCGCGAGGTAGAACTCCTGCTGGTCCGAGCGTGAGGTTGAACTCCTGCTGGTCCGAGCATGAGGTAGAACTCCTACTGGTCCGAGCGTGAGGTTGAACTCCTACTGGTCCGAGCGCGAGGTAGAACTCCTCCAGGTCCGAGCGCGAGGTTGAACTCCTACAGGTCCGAGCATGAGGTAGAACTCCTACAGGTCCGAGCGCGAGGAAGAACTCCTGCTGGTCCGAGCGTGAGGTAGAACTCCTGCTGGTCCGAGCGTGAGGTAGAACTCCTGCTGGTCCGAGCGTAAGGTAGAACTCCTGCTGGTCCGAGCGAGAGGTAGAACTCCAGTAGGAGTTCTACCTCGTGCACCGAGCACGAAGTTGAACTCCTGCTGGTCCGAGCGTGAGGTAGAACACCTGCTGCTCCGAGCGCGAGGTTGAACTCCTACAGGTTCGAGTGTAACGCTGGGAGAGTGAACCCATGACTCACCATGGGAACGTCCTGGTAAGATCATCTTGTAACCTCAGATTCAGCTAGAGTTAATTGAAATATCATCTGGCTCCCCCCTAGTCAGCTTCTTTACTGTTTATAAATAACCCTGATGGTCTTGACAAACAAAACTTAATGGTGCATCTTGATTGCTTTTTTGTACATCATGGGAAGCTGACGCCCTAAGGTGCTGACCAACCATTTAGGTGTGCAAATCACACTTTTCCCGAGTAGGCTCAATCAGCTGGGAACAGGTCCACACCAGACGTTCCCACAACAGTGTAAAACGCTCCCACCCCCTTCTGATTCAGTTGTATATATACCCCTGTATGATAGTTAGAAGATAGAGAGAGAGTGCTGGAGAGGCTGCAGGTCAGTGAGGCTGCAGGCGCCCCGGCCTCAGGAGACAGAGGGAATCCACCCGACTGAGAGGCAGAGAGTGGTCTTAATTTAAGGTAATGTGTGTGTGATCTTTGATACGTTTTCCATGTCTGGATCCCGTAACAATTGCCAGTGTTAAAGTAGGATTTTATAGTAGTGAATAGCATAAATTGTTCTCAATAAATTCATGTTAAACTTCCCATCTGTATCAATTGTTGAATCCCCTTAGCTTCTGAATACAATCTGCTAACAACCGTCCCATAAATATTGACAGTTAAAGAATGAGTACTCTCTCTAAGTCAAGCAATGTTTCTTGCCTCGTTGCTTGATATAGTCTCAATGGTCAAGGCAGATGGTGGCAGCGTCTTTCAATCCTGTGTAGCATCTCCTTGTTGGAAGGTTACCTTTAGGTTCCGGTGCTATATGGTCGCGCTTCAAATGATTATTAATGTTTTATTTTTAGTTTATATGTATAGTGGTGTTACACGAGCGTGAGGTAGAACTCCTGCTGGTCCGAGCGTGAGGTAGAACTCCTGCTGGTCCGAGCGTGAGGTAGAACTCCTGCTGGTCCGAGCGCGAGGTAGAACTCCTGCTGGTCCGAGCGCGAGGTAGAACTCCTGCTGGTCCGAGCGTGAGGTAGAACTCCTGCTGCTCCGAACACGAGGTTGAACTCCTGCTGGTCCGAGCGTGAGGTAGAACTCCTGCTGGTCCGAGCGTGAGGTTGAACTCCTGCTGGTCCGGGCGTGAGGTAGAACTCCTGCTGCTCCGAGCGTGAGGTAGAACTCCTGCTGCTCCGAGCGCGAGGTTGAACTCCTGCTGGTCCGAGCGTGAGGTAGAACTCCTGCTGGTCCGAGCGTGAGGTAGAACTCCTGCTGGTCCGAGCGTGAGGTTGAACTCCTGCTGGTCCGAGCGTGAGGTAGAACTCCTACTGGTCCGAGCGTGAGGTTGAACTCCTGCTGGTCCGAGCGTGAGGTTGAACTCCTACTGGTCCGAGCGTGAGGTTGAACTCCTGCTGCTCCGAGCGTGAGGTTGAACTCCTACTGGTCCGCGCGTGAGGTTGAACTCCTGCTGGTCCGAGCGTGAGTTAGAACTCCTACTGGTCCGAGCGTGAGGTTGAACTCCTGCTGGTCCGAGCGTGAGGTAGAACTCCTACTGGTCCGAGCGTGAGGTAGAACTCCTGTTCGTCCGAGCGTGAGGTAGGACTCCTACTGGTCCGAGCGTGAGGTAGAACTCCTACTGGTCCGAGCGTGAGGTAGGACTCCTGCTGGTCCGAGCGTGAGGTTGAACTCCTACAGGTTTAAAGACTTCTGTAATCATCGTAAATATTGCTGTAATGTTTTACACTGTGGACTGTATCACAAGAAATTCAAAATTGTGAATAAATTTGTTAAACATTTCTTTATATAATTTTTATGGTATCATATAATATAAATTTCTTTAAATCATATGTAAATATATTTTTATATTAATGCAAATGTAATATGCAATTATCAATCATTTTTTTTATTAATTCGTTCAGTGTCCACAACCCACAGCAATTAGTTACCTGCGGGAGGTGGCCTGGTCGAAGACCGGGCCGCGAGGACGCTGAGTCTCGAAATCATCGCAAGGTGACTCTTGTAATATATTAAATTTGTAAATGAAGGTTTGGAAAACTTACATTTATGGTTATTACAGACATTGATTTATACATCGTTTAATATCAGAGATCAGTTGGACTGTAATTGTCTGTATTTAATAACTTCTTGCTTTGTAAACTATTGCTATAAATCACTGTCCTGTGTAGTAAATTTCAGTACAACGATCTTAGTAATAATACCACCTTCATCTTTGACCAGCTTCCTCAGCTCTTAGTAATAATACCACCTTCATCTTTGACCAGCTTCCTCAGCTCTTAGTAATAATACCACCTTCATCTTGGACCAGCTTCCTCAGCTCTTAGTAATAATACCACCTTCATCTTGGACCAGCTTCCTCAGCTCTTAGTAATAATACCACCTTCATCTTTGACCAGCTTCCTCAGCTCTTAGTAATAATACCACCTTCATCTTGGACCAGCTTCCTCAGCTCTTAGTAATAATACCACCTTCATCTTTGACCAGCTTCCTCAGCTCTTAGTAATAATACCACCTTCATCTTGGACCAGCTTCCTCAGCTTGCTACAACCAAAACCAAGCACATATAAGCTTCTTACATCAAGCGGAAATCAGAACATGTTGAATCAAAATAATCCTCAGGCGTCAGATGCGGTCCTCCCCGAGGCTGATGACTCGCTACCTGACTCAAAAACCCGAAAGTTAAAACTCAGATCTAACACGACTGGTCGCTCCAGAGGGCAGACTTATCCCCAAGACGCTGCCACCTAGGGAGACGCGCCAATAACAACAGCACTGGTCCGCTACATGAGGATATTAATATTACAGTCAGTCGCCATGGCACCATTCCCCCCATGGAGGTCCGTGGCTCTAGGGACACACACAGAGAAATGCAACATAAGAATGGACACGAATGGGGAACTAATAGGAGAAAGCGTCATGCCGTTATGACTATAAAGCACTGGAAAGAGGCCAGGATAGGTATTTGGAATGAGACCTGGAAGAGATGACCCGCCCAACCACTTGGACGGTCGGGGGTTGAACGCCGACCTGCATGGCGCAAGTCCGTCGCTCTACCACCAGAACAATTCGTTGGGTAAGAATGAAGAATTGGAACATCAATGTGATGTTATGTCTCCTCTTCAAACTTTTGCCAATTATAAAGTGTCACACCGAATGACTCGCCTTTACCAAAATTAGTTAATGAACATCTACTATTACAGAGATGCATGAATGATGTACTAAAACTACATTAGTTTGTTGGAGAATATGTATTGTCATGATTACAGGTGGAGTCTACACTGGGACTCCTCCCAGTGTAGACTCCACTGGATCCTACATGAGTTGTTTGCCTTTAATTGCCGTTGATTTGTTGTTTGCTATATACTAATAAGCCAATGTGTTTTAGATGAAATTAGGAAAGATGAGTGTGAATGTGTTTTGCGACGTAAGGTGATTACGTGTTGAGGTCTCAGGATGCGAGGACGCTTTCCCGTCAAGGGCCGCCATGGCGCCAGAGCCTGAAGCTCAAGACACCAAGTTATCATGGCAACCAAGAAGACGCTACCTATTGGGGCCAATCAGAGTGAAGCAAGACAGTAACGTCATGCAATGAACATACGGAGATGGGAGGAGGCAAATCACTTTATGACCGATACACGAAGAGATAACACATCTCCCAACAATCGCTCCGCTACTGCTGGACAGATACTATCATCCAGAAGCCATGTAAACAGGGCCGACTCCAAGAACAGAAGAATAGGACAGTATCCAGTAGGGAGCGGAGAGCCCAGGAGCTGACATTGTTGTAAGCGGTTTCATCAGAGCGGTACAGAAGGCTTGGGAGGATTGACAAGTTGCGGCGACCGTGAAACAGACCCGATGTGAGAGGTCTTCATCGTCAGGAAGAACGACTTCCCTACAAGAGCACGACCGTAGCAGGGAAGGACGCCGAGCTGCTAGTACACTGAGAGGGTGACGTTGTCTTCCTATGAAGCCGCCGGACACAGCTGTGACATTTCCACCCTGAGGAAGTGTACTCAGGCCGGAGTATAGTTAAGGCGTATGTTTGGAGAGTGTGAAACCCGAAGTATTCGTCGAACGCCCCGAAGTACTCGCTGGATGCCCCGAAGTACTCGCTGGACGCCTCGAAGTACTTGCTGGACGCCCTGAAGTACTCGCTGGACGCCCCGAAGTACTCGCTGGATGCCCCGAAGTACTCGCTGGACGGCCCGAAGTACTCGCTGGACGCCTCGAAGTACTCGCTGAACGCCCCGAAGTACTCGCTGGATGCCCCGAAGTACTCGCTGAATGCCCCGAAGTACTCGCTGAACGCCCCGAATTACTCGCTGAACGCCCCGAAGTACTCACTGGATGCCCCGAAGTACTCGCTGGACGCCCCAAAGTACTCGCTGAACGCCCCGAAGTACTCGCTGGACGCCCCGAAGTACTCGCTGAACGCCCCGAAGTACTTGCTGGACGCCCCGAATTACTCGCTGGAAGCCCCAAAGTACTCGCTGAACGCCCCGAAGTACTCGCTGAACGCCCCGATGTACTCGGTGAATGCCCCGAAGTACTCGCTGGACGCCTCGACGTACTCGCTGAACGCCCTGAAGTACTCATCGAACGCCCCGAAGTACTTGCTGGACGCCCGAAGTACTCGCTGGACGCCTCGACGTACTCGCTGGACGCCCTGAAGTACTCGCTGAACGCCCCGACGTACTTGCTGAACACCCCGAAGTACTCGCTGGACTCCTCGACGTACTCGCTGAACGCCCTGAAGTACTCATTGAACGCCCCGAAGTACTTGCTGGACGCCCGAAGTACTCGCTGTACGCCTCGACGTACTCGCTGGACGCCCCTAAGTACTCGCTGAACGCCCCGAAGTACTCGCCGGACGCCCCAAGGTACTGCCCCAAAGTACTCGCTGGACTCCCCAAGGTACTCGCTGGACGCTCCGAAGTACTCGCCGGACGCCAAAAGTGTGACATTCAACTTTCTAAAATATGTTCTCTCACAAATTTACCTGTAAAACGGAGATGATGTTCGACGTCCTGACTAATGTCTTCTTGATAGTTAACACATTCATTTTAGTGAACCTTTAGTGACTCCTTTGCCTCCACTCACCAGCTCTCTTGGGGAATATTATCCCGCTTCAGGGGTATATCTTCCTGCTTCACATTCTGTTCTGACTCCAGACACTCATTGACGCTTTCCACTTGTTCTTTCAGCCTTTTAATTATCCACCAAAGCATGAGGCATGGTTCGTATAGGGTTTGAGGAAACGATGCGATGTATTGTTACTAGGAAATACAAGCTAGCTAGTGAGACTGAAACCATTCATACTACTGGCTGAACCACCAACTGTAAGGCTGAACCACCGACTGAACGACTGAACCACCAACTGAACGACTGAACCACCAGCTGAACGACTGAACCACCAGCTGAACGACTGAACCACCAGCTGAACGACTGAACCACCAGCTGAACGACTGAACCACCAACTGAACGACTGAACCACCAGCTGAACGACTAAACCACCAGCTGAACGACTGAACCACCAGCTGAACGACTGAACCACCAGCTGATCGACTGAACCACCAGCTGAACGACTGAACCACCAGCTGAACGACTGAACCACCAGCTGATCGACTGAACCACCAGCTGAACGACTGAACCACCAACTGAACGACTGAACCACCAACTGAACGACTGAACCACCAACTGAACGACTGAACCACCAACTGAACGACTGAACCACCAACTGAACGACTGAACCACCAACTGAACGACTGAACCACCAACTGAACGACTGAACCACCAACTGAAGGGCTGAACCACCAACTGAACGACTGAACCACCAACTGAACGACTGAACCACCAACTGAACGACTGAACCACCAACTGAACGACTGAACCACCAACTGAACGACTGAACCACCAACTGAACGACTGAGCCACCAACTGAACGACTGAACCACCAGCTGAACGACTGAACCACCAGCTGAACGACTGAACCACCAAATTCATACAACAGTTGAGATCATCTTAAACATCACCTCAAATAAAAATTATAATCTAGATCTAATAAATTATTTTGATAAGCTGCATTTGTTTTCTTTTATTTCATTAAACATCGATATCTGGACGGGTCAGAAGACCCTTCCGGTTATTATGATGTAGAGAATGCGCTTGCACATCAACTTGCAACTCCTTCAGAAACTGCAACTGACGCTTCCGTGATCAATTTCACGCATATCTCCACGGCTTGAATGTCGCATGGAAATCCTGGAACTCTATCTCAGGCACGTTCCCATCTCCATTTCCAGTCTAAACAATATCTTCGAGGCCTTCGCTGGAAATCTCGAGGATTTGAGGCAGTTGAGAGTCACTATGTAATTCTGCCTTGAGATTAAGTCTATGTGTTGACCAGACCACACACTAGAAGGTGAAGGGACGACGACGTTTCGGTCCGTCTTGGACCATTCTCAAGTTGACTTGACTTGAGAATGGTCCAGGACGGACCGAAACGTCGTCGTCCCTTCACCTTCTAGTGTGTGGTCTGGTTAACATACTTTAGCCACGTTATTGTGACTCATCGCCTGCATAAAGTCTATGTAGTCCAATGCCTCAAATATCAGTAGAGGCAGCGAAAATGTGCGTATTCCATTCGACCTTTTTCCTGTCTTTATGACTGGTCGCAAGCCCAGCGTCAGTCTCTGCTTCCGCTCACCTGCGACCATAGCCAGAAGAATATTCTCGGGTTGACCAAAATAGCAGGCGATGAGTCCCAATAACGTGGCTGAAGTATGTTGACCAGACCACACACTAGATATTGAAGGGACGACGACGTTTCGGTCCGTCCTCCTCGGACATGGGGGTGTGTGTATGTGGGAGGACATGCGGGGGTGTATGTGGGAGGACATGGGGGGGTGTATGTGGGAGGACATGGGGGTGAGTGTATGTGGGAGGACATGGGGGGGTGTATGTGGGAGGACATGGGGTGTGTATGTGGGAGGACATGGGGTGTGTGTATGTGGGAGGACATGCGGGGTGTATGTGGGAGGACATGGGGGGTGTATGTGGGAGGACATGGGGTGTGTGTATGTGGGAGGACAGGGGGGGTGTATGTGGGAGGACATGGGGGTGTATGTGGGAGGACATGGGGTGTGTATGTGGGAGGACATGGGGGTGTGTGTATGTGGGAGGACATGCGGGGGTGTATGTGGGAGGACATGGGGGATGTGTGTGGGAGGACATGGGGGATGTGTATGTGGGAGGACATGGTAAAGACGCGTTTGTGTGGGGGGAGGGGGAAGATGGGGGAGGGTGTGTTTGTGCGTGGGTGGGGAGGAGGAGACGGTAGAGACTAAGACAGTGTAATGGCTGGTGGGGAAGCCAGTCAGTGACTACTTGATCAGGGTAACCAGGACACTGGCAGGTGTTGGAATATATGTTAAACACCTGAGAATAAGTAATATTGTTATCAAGTAGTGTATTAACTTAGCCTAATCTTGTGTGTTACTCTGTAGCTTCACCAGAAGCTGCTGCATCATGCATTTTTATGACACTTTGAAATATGTGGCTAAACTTATGACTGATAGATGTATGAATGATAGACACATTGTAGCTGCAACAGTGGCAGTGAACATGAGTGTTGAACACAACGGTGGAAGAGCCAGGGTAGAGGAGCATCATGTTAAACTCATCACAGGAGATGAAACTTGAGGAGGAGAGGCTGCCAGATGAAGCCTTCACCGTGATGTCACCATCAATATATTCCACCATACCGTGATATCACCATCCATATATACCACCATACCGTGATGTCACCATCAATATATACCACCATACCGTGATGTCACCATCAATATATACCACCATACCGTGATGTCACCATCAATATATACCACCATACCATGATATCACCATCAATATATACCACCATACCGTGATATCACCATCAATATATACCACCATACCGTGATATCACCATCAATATATACCACCATACCATGATATCACCATCAATATATACCACCATACCGTGATATCACCATCAATATATACCACCATACCGTGATGTCACCATCAATATTTACCACCATACCGTGATATCACCATCAATATATACCACCATACCGTGATATCACCATCAATATATATCACCATACCGTGATGTCACCATCAATATATACCACCATACCGTGATATCACCATCCATATATACCACCATACCGTGATATCACCATCAATATATACCACCATACCATGATATCACCATCAATATATACCACCATACCGTGATATCACCATCCATATATACCACCATACCATGATATCACCATCAATATATACCACCATACCGTGATATCACCATCCATATATACCACCATACCATGATATCACCATCAATATATACCACCATACCATGATATCACCATCCATATATACCACCATACCATGATATCACCATCAATATATACCACCATACCGTGATGTCACCATCAATATTTACCACCATACCGTGATGTCACCATCAATATATACCACCATACCATGATATCACCATCAATATATACCACCATACCGTGATATCACCATCAATATATACCACCATACCGTGATGTCACCATCAATATATACCACCATACCGTGATGTCACCATCAATATATACCACCATACCGTGATGTCACCATCAATATTTACCACCATACCGTGATGTCACCATCAATATTTACCACCATACCATGATATCACCATCAATATATACCACCATACCGTGATGTCACCATCAATATTTACCACCATACCGTGATGTCACCATCAATATATACCACCATACCATGATATCACCATCAATATATACCACCATAGCAGAACACAAGCGCATGCAAGTGATGGCAGAGGATGTGTTTGTGGGTCACAAGCTCCTGGTGTATTCCTGGTGGTATAACAGGTATATTGGGTCACATTGGTATTCATGCACCTAAACCTGGTATATTCCTGGTGGTATAACAGGTATATCGAGTCACACTGCTGGTGTTTTACCCCTTAACAATGGCTGGTCACAAATTGTGCTTAAATCTGTCTGTAGATTTAAGTGAGATTGTCTACTGTCAATCTACTGTCTACAATCTACAATCTACTGTCAATCTACTGTCTGTAGATTGTTGAGACATAGATTCCTCTATGTCTCAACCCGTCCTCCTGTTTGGATAATACTTTATGTAACTCTGTGCACCATAGTACAAGCATTGACGTACTCAGGAGTTAGATAGTAGAATTTTGTAGTATTCACTTCAAAGTCCGAATAAAATGAAGCTAAAAATAAACTTAAATACTTCTAAGCCTAATATAGCAAACAAAATGCTATATTAGGCCTCAGATATGTTGTATTTGGTCCGGGAAGTTTAGGTCAGTTTAGTTGGTCTTTATAAATTGAACATCGTTTCCGGTCTTTCCGAATTCAATATGTCCGATTTGTACTTTCTAAGTGCGTTGAACGTCGGTATATGTACTATGGTCCTCATCGTTACTTTAGGTACTACTGGAACAGGACGATGGGCTGCAACAGTCTGCTGTCCTGCAATTTTAACTTAGTAAAAATATTTTCATAATTATTTACTAAGTCGAAATAAAGATTATTATAGGAGAAATATTAGAAACACATCTATTTCCGGTAATTGGCCTATC